CGTCAGTAGCCAGCGCTGCCGACACAAGTCAAACACAGCAGTAACGGGTGAGTGAGCCCAGTGCTTTACCTTGGTTCAGCAAGCAAATGAGGCAATTATTTTCCTCTGATTCTGTCACAGTCATCATCCTTCCTCTAGAGGGCGCTCTAACTTTATTATTACGTGCACCTGTCTGGGCTCAGTACTGGCAGACAGACGTCTGCAGGCCCGTCTATCCACCGGGCTCAGGAGCAGCCCGAGGGCACAGGCCTTTTCCCCAGGCGTCCTGACCTCCCAGTGCGGGGCTCGGAGCACCTTGCTCCGTTATGGTTGCATTTTCCATGTTCCTGTATCCCTTTTCCCTGTCTTCGTCTCAGATTGATCTCTCGGCTACCTGAACTTTGGACTGCGCCCTGTGCTTTCCCTTTTGGACTCTGGACTTGTTCGCCTGCGCTCCCCCTCGCACCTGGATCGCCTCCGGCACCCTGTCCCCTGTCAGTCCTCCCATCCGCTCCTCTCCGTCTTTTCCCTATTGTCCTTCTCCAGTCTCCTCCGGATTATACCGTCTGCACAGGGTCCTAAATCCGCACTACACAGGAGTCAGGAGTGGCTCCCCTGACGGATTCGTACAGAGATCAGGGCCAACAAAAGTAAAGTACAGTATGGCGAATAAAAAGCACTATACATTTATCCCCACTATACACGGTCCCCTCACACACAGCCAGACCACAAATCCAAAAATCAAATTTTATTTTCTATGGAAATAAATACAGAAATGTTTTTTCACAGTCAGTGCACAATAGAACAGATTGGTCAAAACCGCCATGTGCCCGTACGTGTTTCCCCTCCCGCGCCACTTTTCCTACACTCCACATCCGGCCTTTTCTTATGCCCCTGAGAAAGTCGGGATTGCGTTCCGGAAAGCGGGGGGGGAGCGGGAATCTGGCGTTGTGGAGGCGAGAGCTGTGGGAGAATCGCCCGGATGTGCAAAGCTGTCTGGGAGGAATCGGAGCGCGGATCTTCAGGATAGAGCAAGCGATCAGGTGGAGACGCCAAACAAAACAGCAGTGTTTCCAATTTATATATTACCCCCCCCCCCCATGAGTAGCGCCAGTGATGATAGTGTAATGGTCACCCACACAGTACACTCAATCACACCCAAGGCTGGAGTGGAACTGTAGATTCCCACTTATTTGTCAGCGACTCCTGGGAGAGGCGGAGCCAGAAGAGAGCGAGATGCCCAGTCAGAAAGAAACTACTCTTTTGGAATCAAGTCCTTTTGTAACTTGGTTGGCTTTTTTTGGCTCAGACAACTCCAGCTTCTTTGCTCGAGCCATGTACCTGGTTTCACAGAGGATTCCGGCTGTGCAATCGCTTGCCCCACTCCTGAAGACCACCCCGATCGTCCCCGTTCTCTGCGTGTGTGTGTGGCTGTGCGTGCGTGTGTGTGTGAGTCCCTCCTCTCGTCAGCCGCCACGCCCCCCTCTCTGAGTCTCAGCCCGGCGATGAGTTGGTCAGTCAGCCCGGCAGCCCCAGGCTGTGAGAATCAGCATCCCTGCAAGGAACAAGACGCAGGTGAAACCTTCGACATGCCTCTGGGAAAGCGCTGGGAACGGTGTCTCTGCCGTGCTTGAACAGTCCGAGTGGATTTCCGGGGTGACAAGTGTGGGCGCCCCCCTGTTTGCTCTCCAGGGGTTAGAGAACGGCCACCTCCACAGAATGTTCCTGGTTGTGCTGCTCTGACGGTGACTTTATTAATAAATCTCGGGGTACACACATGATCATCCCTAGTGCTCCGGGGTTGTACTCCCCTGACTGTCAGTTTACTAATATAAATCTCGGGGTACAC